GGCATTTAGATGTATTTACACACATGTATTTTGTTTAATGCAAGACACGAATGCATTTAACCTGCAATTACAAATGCATAAATAATGTTTTGATATATTAAACATAAAACGTTGAATACTGATATTTGAAATGATTTAAAACATGGAAGAAGAAAAAAAAAGAAAAGAAAGAAAAAGCTGAAATGTGAAATTAAAGCCGCCAGCAGGTGGCAGCAAAGCACTGTTAATAAGTGAGTCACTGCGATTGAACCGAATCATTTAAACGAGTGATTCATTCAGGAACGAAACACCGTCATGTTGCTCAGAGACACAAAACAGCGTTGTGGCTGTATTCGGGATGATTCTTTTTGGCGAAATAAAGCAAAAACATGGTGTCTAAAACGTAAGTCTCTTAATTAACTTATTGTTTATTGAATTCAACGTCACATTTGTAATCACGGTAATTTTTGGAGAAAACGGCACTCTTCGTGTGAAATTGAATAACTATATGAAGTGATATAAATATATAAATTTTCTGCCGTCATGTCTTGAATTTGGGATCATTCTAAATGCACTTTAATAGCCTGAATCATGCAGTGAAAGAACGCACACTAAATGCGCACGCGCACTAGTCTAGACTTCACGTGATGCATGCGTGCGCTCTGTAGGGATGCTTTGAATGGTTTTTGCAGAATACTCGACAATGTCAAATCGCACATCGTTAAAACAACAATTACGATATTATCGCAGACGATATATATCGCACACCCCTACACTGAATGACTTTACTTGCATTTAATATGCTTTCTATGTATATCAAATCACTTTTGTACATTTAATTGGATGCAGACGTTAAAATATAGTCTGGTTTTAGATATAAAATGTGGACCAGACTTTATTTTAACGGGTCAGATCAGACAAACGGATGAGATCAAATCCCCTTCTAAAGCATGAGGTTTGGTTAAACTACTGACGACTAAAGCATCTTCTCTCTGTCTTACGTCAGACGTTTGCTGGGAATCATTACTAAGAAGGATGTTCTGAGACACATGGCACAAATGATGAACCAGGATCCCGAATCCATCATGTTCAACTAGACTCCACTGTCCGATCTGCTAGTAAACGCAGTAAACCATGGCCAAAAGCGGACGGCGTGAAGATATACCAGTGTTTTTTACTGCTGTTTTTATCATATTTATATTTGACATGCATTACTTTAAGCCGTGCTGATCAACTGTTAAACAGGTGGGATGAAAATGAGGTGTTTTTGAAAGCTGCTGTATTTGATGCGAGATGTGCAGAGGAGGCTATATTATTATATTCATTTATTAACTGCAAAAGGGTCAAAATAGAACAAATAATCTAGAATACTAATCTGCTGTATGGTAGTGACTGTTTCATCCAACTCTAGGTTTGTGGGAATCATTTCTGTTGTGTTGTTATTTATTAATGTTTTTTTTGCTGTTGTATTGAAACATGAATATTGTCCTTGTAAAATAAACACTGCATCTCCGTTACAGATATTAATGTTCATCCGCTGCTCCAGTTCAGCACATAAAAATGAGGGTATGTTATAATAATAAAAAATATTGTTATTAAAAAATGAAGTATTTTTATTGCATTATTTTATAAGATTTAATTCATAAAATATTTTCAGAAAGTACGGTGAAAATAATATACAGCTCAAAAGGTAAACAGTGAGTTAAAGGGTTCTCGTATGAAATATTATTAATAAAATATGACGTATTATTGCATTATTTTATTAGATTTAATTCATTAATTTTTTTAGAAAGTACAAAAAAATATAGAAAAAATTAAATATTTTCAGAAAGTACGGTGAAAATAATATACAGCTCAAAAGGTAAACAGTGAGTTAAAGGGTTCTCGTATGAAATATTATTAATAAATTATGACGTATTATTGCATTATTTTATTAGATTTAATTCTTTAATTCATAAAATATTTTTAGAAAGTACAATAAAAAATTCTAAACAACTCAAAAGATAAAACTTAAGACATACAGTGAGTATTTTTTTTTTGCATAAAATATTAATATTTAATTATGTATTTTTGCATTATTTTATTAAATTTGATTCTTTAATTCATACAATATTTTCAGAAAGTTCAACGAAAATAATATACAGCTCAAAAGACACACAGTGAGTTAAAGGGTTTTTGTATGAAATATTCATAAATTATGACGTATTATTGCATTATTTTATTGGATTTAATTCTTTAATTCATAAAATATTTTTAGAAAGTACAATAAAATATAAAAAATATAAAAAATTAAATATTTTCAGAAAGTACAATAAAAAAATTATAAACAACTCAAAAGATAAATCTTGAAAGACTGTAATTTTTTCTATGAAACATTAATAATTGCATATTATTGCATTATTTTATTAGATATAATTCATTCATAAAATATTTTTATGAAGTACTTTGAAAACGATAGACAGCTCAAAAGATCAAACTTGAAAGAGACACAGCAAATTAAATGTTTTGTATAATTTAATAATTATTTTATTAAATTCGATTTTGAGCTTATTTTATTAGATATAATTCTTTAATTCATAAAATATTTTTAGAAAGTATAATAAAAAAATTCTCAAAAGATAATACTTGAAAGACATACAGCGAGTTAAATGTTTTTTTTTTAATTAGATTCTTTAATTCATCAAATATTTTCAGAAAGTACAATGGAAAAGATATACAGCTTAAAAGAAAACTCTCTCTTCACATGAAAAACTATTAAAAATGAAAAAATTGAGAACTGTAACACTATAAATAAATGTGCATATATTTATGTTTTCAAAGCAGAAGACTGATGAAGTACCAAAATATCTGATTATTATTATTATAACAATAAGATAGCATAATCTGCTACTGTGTATCTTTTTACAGTAACTTTTACACGTCACAGTTTAACAGAAACAAACTCAAATGTATCAGATCTGCTTTTTCCATTCACAAACAATTAAAAAGTGTAAAACGCTTCTTCAAACAGTAATTTCACTAAAAAGTATAAGGAAAAGAATACAGTATACAATTATAAACATTTCAAACTGTAGTATGCTACGTTGTCGTCACATGACCTCACTAGTTGAGTTTGTTTCTTCATCAGATCTGGAGAAATGTAGCATTGCATCACTTGCTCTGCAGTGAATGGGTGCCGTCAGAATGAGAGTCCAAACGGCTGATAAAAGAAGATCTGTAAAGTTGCAAAGACTAAAGTCTCAAACCCAAAGAGATATTCTTTATAAAAGTTAAGAGTCAGCCACGCCTACCTAAAACGGCTCGTTCTAACACGCCCCCACATGTCTACCTCACTATGTGGGAAGATTTGCATAACGCCGCCCAAACGTTCACGCAAAGAAAGAAGGCGTAACTTTTATTCTCGCTGTAGTATTGTTGCTGCCGCCGCCGCCATGTCGTGAAGACGCTGTGTGCTTCGTTGTGAAAGCGAAACTACTTTGTTTGGTCTTCCAAAAGAGGACACGACTAGAAATCAGTGGTTAAGTTGTATTTACAACACTGTTCCAGAACACTTCAACCCAAATATTCAGATGTGTGCAGCACATTTTATGGAGGACTGTTTCCTGATCCTGGTAGAGTAGACTACAATGCCGGCTGTTCTGACTCACAGACTGCAAGTATGTTTTCATATTTAAAGAATTTGCCACTGACGATTCAAACGTGAGTTTTGAGCAGTGGAGAGTAGCGCTTGCTGTTTGTCATTTCTCCGATCACAAATGCAGACATGGTTTTATGTTTACGCTGCGCGATGCAATGCAACGCAACATGTAAAAAGCCAGTAGAAGTCATTATAATCAGTAATTATGTCCTGACTGGATGCAACAAATGCCTAGTTTATAATGGGTTTTAATGTTTTTGTCTCGTCGCTCCGGCCGGACAGGGCATCATCACAGTATGGTGAGGGGCGTAACATTTCCGTCACACGCTTGAGGTATTCGGCCAATCACAACGCACTGGATAGCTGGCCAATCAGAGCACACCTCGCTTTTCAGACCGATGAGCTTTGTAAAAATCGACGCGTTTCAGAAAGGCTGGGCATAGAGGAGAAACAATAATGTACAGTATGTGGAAAATAATGTGTTTTTTTAACCTTAAACCGCATAAACACATTTCATTACACCAAATACACAACATAATGCTCTTTTACAAACACCATATGACCCCTTTAATCGTGGCTGATGTTGGTTCTGGCTCATTTGTCACAGTGGAAGCAGGACGCTGCTCTAAAGAGGAATGGAGACTATGGTCGGCAGAGGGCCGATGGGAGGAGGGTTGTATTTCTCCACACGCATTAACCTGCGCAGAATATCGTCCCGATCTTTCGGCCAGCTGTAGACGTGCGTGTTTTGCAGCCAGGTGGGAACGTAACACTGAGAACGAGAAGAAAACAGGTCCTTTGCTGAGAGAAATCTTACAGAAGCTGAAATGATGTCGGTATTTGCTTCATTAATCATGATTCGCCGGTTCAGTGCATCGCTCTGTGAAGTGTAGAGAATGTGGGACTAGTTGAACCCGTTTAGTGCTGTAACAAGCTCACAAACATGCTTTGATCCACTGAAATGCTTGGGGTAAACTGCAGTGTGCTGAATTTCACAAACCTTTTTAGCTCCCGGGAACAGAATAGGAATGAACCTGTAGTTCCTGCAGCCGTTCTGAATGAATTCGCTCTGCAGCTGATGGAGGAAATCAAACATATCGACAAGGTCACAAATCTGTGTTTACACTAGAATTTAACAAACGTAACCAGAGCGGCACTCTCTTAACCGAACCCTCGCAATTATATTAGTATGCTTGTTTTGACTAAGGCAGCACATGCAATCCCAGAATGCACTGCAATGACCTCTGTGAAATATTTCATCCCCCCAAAAAATGATTCTATTCAAAACATATGAGCAACTAAATTAAATAATTTAATTTAATCAAAAAGTATTATTATTATTAATTTAATGCATTCAATAATGCGTGCCATTTTTTAAAATTTTTGTTCACACTAAACTCTATTGGAATCAGCAAAAGAATAATAATAATAATAATGATTATTATTTTTTTACAGAATTTTGTATTTGTGTGCAATGCATTTTTATGCCTATTAAAATATGACATTGCATGCTCATGCTAAACTCTATTGGAATTAGCAAAAGTATTAATAATAATAAAAACTATATTATTATTATTATTAATAATTATTATTATTGTTATTATGTTATTGCATATGATATTTCTGTGTGCAATGCATATTTATGCTTATTAAAATATAACATTGCATGCTCATGCTAAACTCTATTGGAATTAGCAAAAGTATTAATAATAATAAAAACTATATTATTATTATTATTAATAATTATTATTATTGTTATTATGTTATTGCATATGATATTTCTGTGTGCAATGCATATTTATGCTTATTAAAATATAACATTGCATGCTCATGCTAAACTCTATTGGAATTAGCAAAAGTATTATTAGTAGTATTAGTATTAATTATAATAATAAAAGTAATCATAATAATAATTATTATTATTTTAATGCATTAAATAATTGTTTGTACAAATGTATTTTTATGCTTATTAAAATAACACATTGCATGTCCATGCTAAACTCTATTTTTATTATTAATTATGAATTAATGATTATTTATTATTATTATTATTAATTCCTAAAAATACACAATAATAATAATTATTATTATTAGTTTAATGCATTCAATGTTTGTGTGTTCAATGCATTTTTGAGCTTATTAAATTATCACATTGCATGCTCACACTAAAGTTATAAGAATAATAAGAATTATTATTATTATTATTTAATCTATTCAGTATTTCCTAAACTTTACTGGAATCAGCAAAAGTATTATTAATAATAAAAATGTTAGTTTTAGTTTATTTTGGGACCTGTTTGTGGATGTACACAGTGTTTGACGTTCTCTCGTCGCCCTCCACACTGGTATTCATGCCTGATATGGTCTCGTAATACCTCAGGCTGATGATGATGATGATCAGGTAATCTTTCTGCAGGGAGTTCATCACAGCGCCAAATACTTACATATTTAGACTTAATAGGCTATTTATTTTCAATCTTTTTTTTACATTTTAATCTGGACTACAACATGCGCTAGATATTGTTTGAAAGTGTTTTGATTCTTTATTGTTCGGTCACACTTTACACTAGGGCTTCATTAGTTAACATTAGTTAATTCATTAGTTAATATAAACTGCCAATGAAAAATTCTTCTGAACATTCATTAATCTTAGGTAATTACAATATTTAATAACACATTGTTAAAATCGAAAGTTGCAACCGTGTTATTTAATGAGCTAACATGAACTAAGACTTAATTCATAACTTCTGTAGCAAATGTAGATATTGCTGATTGTGAATGTTAATGCATTAACTAAGCTTAACTAATGAGGTCTTATTGTAAAGGGATACCTATTGGTCTTTATAGTTCTTTTGCACTTTAATCTGTGTAAAACTTTTAGCTTTTCTGTATTGCTTTATTGCATTTAAATGTTTAGTTATTTTTGTTATAAGAAAAAAGTTATTAAACCTGTTATACTGTATTATGACAGCATATTATCGTGATAATACCGTATATCGTGAAAAAAGCATTAGCAATTAATCGCAACATGAAAATTTGATACCGGCATATCCCTAAGAATATGACGTGACAAAACGTTTTATACGTATTCTATTAATCGACATTAATAATCACTTGTAATATCAAGAGCATATCAACAATAATGATTTTTGTCATAACACTGCAGCCCTACCCTGTACGGAGTCCCTGTTTTTTTAAATGTAGGCAATAATTTATGTACAATTTTAACAGTTATTGGTGATTTAAGTCATTGGTTAAATGTAAGTATTTGACATTAAAGACAACACAGATACAATGAATAAGGTCATTATAAAAACTGTCCTTATGAATGTAAAAAATGTCCAGGAAATCAGTACCAGAGGGCAAATATTGCACCTTAATGCAAAATTAATTTCTGACCCTGCTATCCACGTTACTGTATGTGTGTGTCGTGTTGACGTGCGGACAGGAAGTAGTACTCACTCTGTTCCTGTGGCAGGTGTGTGACGCACTGACTGGCCTGTCTGGAGTTCACAGATGCATTTCCACTGAAGACACACACACACAGAGCAGATCATAGACTGTTAACATTTGCAAGCCTTCTTTTTTTTTCAGCATTCATTCTGATTTGAAAGCAAAAGGTCTTTTGTTTCTGGACCATGAGTGAGTGTCAGTGTTGTAGTATGACGTTACGGGACTCACTTTTCAGAGAAGCGCGTGTCCATTTGTCTGTATTGCATCAGGCCTGTGAAATAAGTCAAAAATGCAGATTCAGAATATAAAATAAGCATATATAGGCTGCCAGTGATTCTGAATCGTGTAGATTCTCTCTCACCTGCAGGGTTTTCTGACTCTTCAGTGAATCAACATGAGATCCAGGCTGTTTTTGTACATTAATGCTTGTGTTGAATTCAGAATTACTGTGTTTAGATGTCTTGCATCAGATTTGGTAGTGCCACGTGACTGAACGAAACATGAGGATTTCTCACGCGCAAATGCAAATTAGATTTATTTTGTGCTGTTTTTGTCCCTTTTTTGTGCACTTTGGACAGCTTGCACTTTCGGATTAAAAGGAAATGGTTTTGAAACATATTTATTGATTTCTATTTTACAGCCTGATGTTATTGAAGCATGTTTTTTAAGTCTTTTTATTCAATAGTTTTTTTTTTAGAAAACCATCCAGAAATCAAAATGTTAATCTGAATAACCTATAAACTTTATTTTTAATAATTAAATGATAATTTTCCTTCTACCTGAAGTACACTAGTGTTCGAAGGTTTGGGTCGGTAATATTTTTTATGTTTTTGAAAGAAGTCTCTTCTACTCACCAGGGCTGCATTTATTTGATCATAAAATACAGTAAAAATTGTGAAATATTATTACAATTTAAAATAGCTGTTTTCTATGTGAATATGTATTAAAATGTAATTTATTTCTGTGATGCGCAGCTGTATTTTCAGCATCATAACTCCAGTCTTCAGTGTCACATGATCTTCAGAAATCAGTATAATATGCTGATCTGCTGCTCGAGAAACATTTCTGATTATTATCAATGTCGAAAACAGTCGTGCTGCACAATATGTTTGTGGAAACCGTGATACATTTAATTTTTCAGGAGTCTTTGATGAACAGAAAGTTCAAAAGGACTTCTGAAATCTTTTGTAACATTATAAATGTCTTTACTGTCACTTTTGATCAATCTAATGCATCCTTGCCTAATAAAAGTATTAACTTTAATAAAATATAATATAAAAGTTTGTTCAAAGTTATCTGGTCTTAAATAACGTTCTCAAAACGTTAGCACAAAAACACTATTTATACATGGTTCATGGAACATTTTATTTCTGAAACATTTTTTTAAATGTTGTTACTTGTTTCATTCAAAAGTAACGTTCCCATAAAGTTTGGAATGGAATGTTCCCTTAACACTCATATAACACAAAAAACTGGACGTCTAGAATGTTCAGAGAACATCCAGAATTAACGTTTTCAGAACGTAATGGTAATGTTAGAAAAACGTTCTTGGAACATATTTTTGTAAGCTGGGAATTTCCTTAAAAAAAACAAAAAAACATCCCAATCCTAAACTCTTGAACGTAACGCACCTGAGGGTCTGTAGGGCGGCTGATGTCCCGGTCTGGAGCTGCAGTGATGGACGGGAATCATGTGACGCGGCGGGGGGCACGGCGGCCGCAGGTAAGTGTCGGGGTACGAGGTCGAGGGATAGCGGTACATGTTCCCTGATGGAGGGAACGAACGCAGAGATCTGGGATACTCCAGACTCTCCAGACTCGGACTACAGATGCCCGGAAGAGAGTGAGGCCTGCTGGGAAAAAACGAGCCGTTTTCTGAAAGCGTGTGGTAGACGGCAGACGGAAGGCAGGAGGGCAGGCTGTGTGGGGAATCTTCCCTGACGGGACCGTCCCAGCTGGAAAAGTGTGTCTGATGGGCGTATAATGCACACAGAGGGGGCTGAGTGTAGCTCACTGCGTTATGCTGGAGAATGATCTGAGTAGGTTGTTGGATGGTTGTGGAACAGTTCTGAAGGTCCGACTCAAACTCTTCACTCCTGGTTTCGTCATTCTCCTCGGGACAGTTTAGAGTCATGTACTGATCGCTGCCGTGGGCCATGTGGGTTGGATATCTGAACATAAGAAGAAAATCAACACATTAATTTCTTCAGATTTGTACAGAGCCCCTACAGGGACAATGATGTCAATACTGGATCTTCTGTCTAATTGGATCACCTGGAAATCATCAAAACTATATTTCAGTAATTTTGAACATTTCACGGGGGAACGCAATCCCAGCTAACGGGGAGTGTCCTGAACAAGTTATGAACAAACGTGCTTCCAGTATCGTTAATAAAATGTTCATTCAAAGTTATCTGGTCTTTAATAACGTTTGCACAAAAACATTATTCATCAACCATCATTAATGGAACGTTTTTCTAAAACGTTTTGGTTGGACGTTTTTTTAAATGTTGCTACTTGTTTCAGGATATTCAGAGAATGCATGAAATGTTCCCCTAACGTTCGTGTAGCCAAGAAAAATCATTTTGAAGTTCTTACAGCATACTTTATTCGTTGGAACAGTTTCGCAAGAGAACACACGCAATACTTTTATGAGAAAAACTTTTACGCTCTTCCATGAAACGCTTTTCAAGCAATCGCTTGAAAAACTTGTGATAGAAATAATGAGGTGGGAGGGGAAAAATAATGCTTTTGTGAGCGAATGCAAACTTTCTTGGGTCTTTGCAAGAGAATGCAAATGTTTTACAAGCGAACACAAAGATTTTTTTGGTAACTCGATAGTTTTGCGAGTGAATTCAGTGTTTCTCGTGATGTCATTTATTCAACCGTTGTTGCTTTTTTCTGTGGATTACAACAAAGCATGCTCCACTTTCACTCGCAACAACAGTTCGGTGAGCACAGAAACACACCATATCACAGCAGTTCACACAACTCGTGCATTATATTCAAAGACATGTGGGGCCGGCTGCATAAACTCCTTAGACTAGTCTTAAAAAGTTAGCCATGTAATTTTTTTTTTTTTTTCAAAACTGGTCATAACTTTTTTTTAAATCAGTTACAAAAAGGTAGACTGGTCTAATTGGAATTGAAAAAGTAAGACTGGTTACACCTTGGCTAACTGCTAGTTGGTCAAACCAGTTTTTAAGACTAGAGTGGCTATTTTTAGGGCCCCTAAAGTCAAATGATAGTTTTGGGTGGAGAACAGACTGAAAGGTTTTGTCATATTTGCAACATGACTCTCACGGTCAATGCTTTTGTTGTAAATAACCTAAAAGTGATGAAAATGACATTTCCTTTCCTATTAACTCCTTCAGTCAATAGACTACATCTGCCATGTTTGTAGGCTATAACAGAGCATGTCTACAGTTGTCGTAACCTATAGTGCTGCACATACAGCGCGATTATTTTAATGTTCAGTCTGAGAGCATGTTTGCACATGCTGTGTTTTCATCTTCACCGAATGACAGAAACCAAGAAGACTTCTGAAAGCTGACAGTGACCAGATGACGGCGTAAGAAAGAGGTCAGCGCTGTTTTCTACTGGGGAAAAATAGGCCTCAGTGTAACATCCACCCATGCAGCGTCCCTAAATAGGACACACTGCATTATGACTCTTTATCTCAGCGTGCCAAAATTCTGCAGCCTGTGCAAACCTGCAGACCACAACTGAGACATTATGCCATGCAAGCAGATACATTAAACACTTTATATATTCTGTTTGAGCATTTGAGACTCAATGCAAATATAAGCCAATAAGTCAAGTGAAAAGGAAGAAGCAGTTAAAATGCAGCGTCCCTAAATAGGACACACTGCATTATGACTCTTTATCTCAGCGTGCCAAAATTCTGCAGCTTGTGCAAACCTGCAGACCACAACTGAGACATTATGCCATGCAAGCAGATACATTAAACACTTTATCTTTATGCAGTATATAGATACAGATATTCTGTTTGAGCATTTGAGACTCAATGCAAATATAAGCCAATAAGTCAAGTGAAAAGGAAGAAGCAGTTAAACATTTGGCATTTGATAAAGACGAAAGATACGCTTTATCACTGATTCAAACATTTCCTGACACACTTGAGAAAGAAACCAAGCATATATATAGGGGTGAATTCAGGTATTAAATATATATTTGCAATGACAAAATATTTTGGTATTTTTTATATTTAAAAGTAAATAAAAAAGAGTACATTCAGGTGAGTTGGGACACTTTTTGCCATTGACTTGACTGAGAAAAATATCATTAATTAACTATAACCTGTTTTCCTTTTTACAAAGAAAAGTAACATTAAAAAAAATAAATAAATAAAAATATATATACAGTATATACATCCAGGGAAAGAAACATGTGTCCTAATTAAATTCCATCCATAATGACCTCAAGTGACCTTCATTATGTATATAGATATTAAGCAGAATACATGCATATTTGCAAACATGTACATATACACACACAAGCATATATTATTAAACGTCCAGTTTTTAATGATTTTAAAACAGTTTTTTTTGGTTATACGAACGTTTGCATCGTTTTGCAAATATTATGGGCACGTTACCTTTGAATGTTCTCTGAACCTTCTGAAACAAGTAGCCTAGTAACGTTTAAAAAACATTAGACGAACGTCCAACTAAATGTAGCTACATCTGCAAGACGTATTTTCAGTCTGTGTATTTTACAGTGTTTGCTCATCTGCAATACGTCTATAGGACGTTCAGATGTCAAATAGACGTCTATGAGATGTCTTTAAGATGTTTATGATTTAGAATGAATGTAAAACTGACATCTTACAGACGTCTGTACACAGCAGATGCTTCCCAGATGAAGAGATCTTTAACAGACCTCTTGCAGATGTATGCTATCTGGGTAAAGGCCAGACAAATTTGGACGAATTCTTATAATGTTACTGGAAGAACATTTATTCATTCATTTGAACCTTGCCAGAACGTAAGCGGTTTTATTCTTTTTAATTGACTTTTATAAATTTTTACGTTTTAGTTTCAGATTGCACACATCTGCAAGATGTCTGTTGAAGATCGCTTCATCTGGAAAGCATCTGCTGCGTAAAAGCATCTGACAGATGTCTCTAAGATGTCAGTTTTACATTCATTCTAAATCATAAACATCTTATAGACATCTTATACACGTCTATTTGACATCTGACGTATTGCAGATGAGCAAAAACACTGTAAATAAATATGTCTTGCAGATGTAAATGCAGACGTCAAATAGACGTCTCCGTGACGTACGTGTGCTATCAGGTTTTTTTTTTTTTTTTATCGACTTGGGCTGTATTTCACAATTTATATAGGCTAAACTTAAAGAGCAGGAGTCATCCGTGTGATAATAATCAGTCGAACGGACTGCACAATGTCTTAATTTTTGCATTTTTGCAAACCGATGTGAAACGAAAGTTAGATATAGTCAGTCTAGATTGAGATGATAGATTATAGTTTACTGTGTGCAGTGCACATGCAACTAGAAAGAGATGAGAAAATATGCTTGAAAAGAGTTAAATGCTGTAGTGATTGAAGTACTATGCATCACTATACCATGGTACTGAATTGCTATAATTATATGTCATGGTAGCCTATCTATGCATGCATGGAAAAAACAAGGTACTTTTTTTAATGATGTAGACATAATTTTTAAATAGTAAAAAAATAGCTCAACATTATTAAAACAAAACGTGTACGTTTTTACTGGCAAATTTCCACACTTTTAAAATCATAACCAAGTAAAAAAAGATCAGTAAGACAAAATACAATGTGTACTTATTCTCTGAAACAAATGCAGGTAAATTTATATTGCTTTAACGATGATTAGATATCGGTACGCATGGTGTTATTTTGGCTGTAAATAAATGCATATGATGCTTTTGTATTTTAATACACGCGAGCTGAGAAATGCGGACGCGAGAGTGTTTGTAAACAGTCCTCGGGCCTCGTGCGGTTTGCGCGCTGTTGCTAATAACAGCATGCAATACTCGTTGGGTTTGTTTAGCGTGTAAGTGTCAAGCAGCCCGCCCTGTTTATAGTGAGACCTGTTAGCCAGACAGCCGGTGGAATTAAACACTGCTAAAGTTAGATTAGCAATCACAGCAGCTGCTTCGTTAATGTTTAAACTGCTAATGTCCTCAAAAATAGGGTACATGTACATTCTCACGCGTGCTACATCATCTTTTGCATGTGTTTAATTTACAACGAAGTGCTATGGTAATACCTGGTTTATTATGGTATACTTTGAAGTACCATAAAATGTCATAAATACCCTGGTAGCACACGTACATCATGGAGACGTCTATTTGACATCTGCAAGACTATTTTTTACAGTGTTTGCTCATCTGCAATACGTCTATTGGATGTTTCCTATCAGATGTCAAATAGACGTTTAGAAGATGTCTTTAAGATGTTTATGATTTAGAATGAATGTAAAACTGATGTCTGAAAGACATCTATCAGATGTTTGTCCCAGATAGCACACGTCTGCAAGAGGTCTGTTGAAGATCTCTTCATCTGGAAAGCATCTGCTGTGTACAGACGTCTCTAAGATGTCAGTTTTACATTCATTCTAAATCATAAACATCTTAAAGACATCTTCTAAACGTCTATTTGACATCTGATAGGAAACGTCCTATAGACGTGAGCAAACACTCTAAAAAATACGTCTAGCAGATGTAATGCAGACATTAAATAGACGTCTCCGTGACGTACGTGTGCCGGATATATGAAATAATATCATATTTGATCCCTCAGGCTTTTAAGGCTCCTATAGTCTGATATAGGTAGAATATGGAGGAAAAACAGCTCAATTATTCAAAGATTCAATTGAGGAAAATTATGCAATTTGCTGCAGATGCTGATATTTAGGCTTATATGATGAAATTCTGATGCTTGTAATGTAAATCAATGCGATCTTTATAACAGCAGATACTTATATAAAAACAATATAAATATCAGCCATCACTCTATATCTCCAGTAATCTGTTTTAGTAAAACGAGATTGAAATAATGCAATGCAATCCAGCGCTGATTGAGAGCTGAAGAAATAAACGCTGAGGAACAGTGAAAGTAAAGCTTCTGGAAACAAACGCTCCTCAAAAGATCCTGAGGATCAGATTTGAGACTCTAAAACATGATTGATGGAGAATCAAGTAAAGCTGAGCTGCTTCAGTGCAGTGAGTGTTCATCTGGAGATATTACTGCAGTTATTCTGACGCTTACTTGATCAAAATCAGTCAAGATTTGACTCGTGAAGCTCGAGCTGAAGCTGGACATTTGTACAATTACACTAAAAGAGCCAATCAGACGACAGAAGGTGTGGAGTAAGTTTTGATCATTTAGAGGCCTTAAATTTGCATATATATGTTATAGTGTGAAAGTGATCATTCAGTTTTTGGAAGAGACTTATAATACTTGATTTGTGAAAAATGCAACACATATTAATACTTTAATTTGCATTGCAGGACTTAGAGCGATGGACTGGCTGTTTGGCAGGATTTCCTGGCAGAAGGATGATCTGTCGATTATAATATCGTTCGATTAACACATGTTGCACCGGAGCAACCCACATCCATTCAGGATTCTGTCTTTGAATTAACAAGATCTAAAACTCAGTTTTCCGGCCAGTATTTGTGTTTTTATGCGTCTTTATGTCCTGAGCCGTGGTCCATCTTTGCAAAGTCATGGAGTCCAACATGGAGTACATAGTGGCGCAGGTCACGCAGAAAGAGGTCGGACGTCGGTTTCAAGTGGGGCCGGAAATCATAGACTACATCCTGGACAGACAGAAGTCACATGACCTGGAGCATGATCAGAGCATGCTGGACAGGATGGTGGACAGTCTGGCAACCACATGGGTCAACGCGAGCAATTTCAAGGTAAGGGAGTTTGTAAGAAACATGAATCATTTTAGTTCACCTACAAATGAAAATGTGCTCACCCTCAGTTCATCCGAGATCAGGAAGAGTTTGTTTCTTCATCAGGTTTGGAGAAATGTAGCATTGCATCAGTGTCTCAGCAATGGATGCTCTGCAGTGAATGGGTGCCGTCAGAATGAGAGTCCAAACAGCTGATAAAAACATCACAATAATCCACAGCACTCCAGTCCATCAGTTAACATCTGGAGAAGACAAAAGCTGAAACTAATCCAGCATTAAGACGTTTTTAACTAAAATACATTGAGTCCATAATCCATAATAAAGCTTCCTCAGTGAAAAAGTGTTCTGGTGTGAATCAGGAGAGAAATCTGCACAGATCAAGCACCGCTTAAACAGTTCTAAACTAATATGTGGCTGGATTTTGATGTGAGAGACAACAGCAGATGCACTTTTTCACTGAGGAAGCTTTATTATGGATTATGGACTCTATGGTATTTTAGTTAAAAAGGTCTTAATGCTGGATTTGTTTCAGCTTTTGTCTTCTTCAGATGTTAACTGATGGACTGGAGTGCTGTGGATTATTGTGATGTTTTTATCAGCTGTTTGGACTCTCATTCTGACGGCACCCATTCACTTGCAGTGAGACACTGATGCAATGATACATTTCTACAAATCTGACGAATCTTGGATGATCTGAGGGTGAGTCATTTTCATTTGTGGGTGAACTGTTCCTTTAAATAGAAGCTGAGGAGAGATTGTGTAAATCACTGGCCATTCTTTCTGTTTCTTAAGTAATTTTGTGCATTCGTGATTCAGTTCGCTTGATGCACGTTCTAAAGATTTTTAGGCCTTTTCCATAAGCGTGCAAGTAGTTCCAGGTTTGTTGCATTGGAGTTGCATATCATCATCAGCACAGATCTTTTAGATATCACACTTTGAAATGCTTAATGTAAATGATTGCTGATTTAGAAGATGATTCAAGCATTTGTTATCATTTCAGGAAGACTCCTGTTCTCACGGATTCAGTGAGACTCTTGTTTCAGTGAGTGCTCGAGTTTTAATTGGAAACGGATTTATAATTTCACAGAACTGCATTTTTGGATGACAGGCATTTTGTATTCAATGAAAAATTTAGGTTATGCTAGTTGTAAACTACAGACATTGACCTGATGGACTAAAGCTGCTTTCTAGATTTTTACAGAAAGCATTTAAGGGTACATGATATGCATTAGGAGCTTTTTGAATTGCCGTTGATCTCTTGTCGCTTCTAATGTTCAATCATTCTTGGCGATTTAGCCAGAAAACCGTGTTTGGTATGAGAAGTCGCTCAATATCAATCTAATTTTCCTCTCATAATTTTTACTGTGATTTACCTTTAGGGCTTTATTTCAGTTCTCGGATCAGTTTGACTACACTGTTTCATCGTTCTGTCAAATAAAATTTTCTGCAGTTTTAATTTAGAATTATTTAAATGCGATTCTATAGTAGTGTATAAAATAATACTAGCTAAACGTATTATTAATAATAACTTAACCAAAATATTTATTACTATTTTGAGTAAGTTTTATATTTTCAGTTTTCATTTTAAAGTAATAAAAATAAACATATGGCTATATCATTGCCAGTGTTGCCAATTTGGGGATTTTGTCGCCAAATTTAGCTACTTTCTCATTGTAGCTGCGACTTTTTTAAATTTTTAAATTTTTACACAGAGAGATTTGTGAGTGCACAGGACACAGTTTGAGTGAGAGGAGAGACACGTTTTAAGTGCACGCACTCTCTCCGGGCGAGAGCAGCGTGTATCTGAGCACTGCAGTATTGCCAATTTGGGGATTTTGTCGCCAAATTTAGCTACTTTCTCATTGTAGCTGCGACTTTTTTAAATGTAAAATTTTTTTGCTATATTTAAATAAAACTATTGACCTCTCACGTTTGCTCTCAATCATGCCAATGAGTCTGCGCAGAACACACCAGTACGCCACGCCTGCCGTGACGCACACCACAATTTCATTATAAGCATCAATCAAGAATGAACATCTTGTTTTAACCACGGACACAAAAGTTATACCACAATTCATGCACAGTCATGTGAACCAGATACTGAGAGAGAGACTTCGTGAGTGCATCATCGTGTCATGTGTGCTGGGATGCAGTATTTTGCACTTACTTTGTAGTAATAGAGTGTGTTGACTGAAATCAGTTTTTGTTTTTGGAGAATCATAATATCTCTTATCTGTTGTATTTGAGCAGGACAGGGATGCACTTTGGTGACACATAAAACTAATTCCCAACATTATGTGTCTTTCCATCATTTCCATCATGTTTGACGTGCTTGCAGATCACAAGCATTTCCTAATTTCACTTCAGAATTTGTTATATTTAATCTTTTGTTATCATTTTTATACTGTTATCGTTTGTAAAGTATATATATATATTTACTTTCCTTTACCTTTACCAAGTTTACCTGTATTTACTTTGTTTTCATATTTGGCGACTTTTTGTGAAAAATTGAGACTTTTGAGGGTGGTTCTAGAGATTTTCTGAGGGAGGGGTTTGGCAACACTGATCATTGCAACTATACAATTACATTACTAATATTTATGGTTACTTGTCCATAGAATTCTTATTATGAAGGTAACAGCTCTTGTGTTGGTCAGTGCTTCTGCGTTAGGCTGTAAGCTTCTTCTCTCCACTCAGAGTCAGAGCTCCTGTGAGTGTGTGGGCTGAATGATTCAGCCTTACAGTGTTGAAATAGCTCACTGTCTGTGTGTAGAGCAGGGTGTATGTAACCGGATGGTTATCTAATGGTTTCGTCAGTTGACTAACTGTAGGAGCTGTAGAGAAGCATGCAGTAGAAGGAGGGGTTTCATTAGTTCATTTGAGGAGCCAGCCAATGGCGTGAGTTTGGGGGCGGGGCTATCGGTGTGCCTCTGTTTCTTTGTATCTCTTTGATTTTCAGTTTGACCAATGACAGTGACAGTGTTTGGAAACTAAGCCATCATACATTTTAGTGACACGTTTTGAATCAACTTGTACATCTCAACAATTTTAAAGGGGTCATATGATGCTGCTAAAAAGAACATTATGTTGTGTATTTGGTGTAATGAAATGTGTTTATGCGGTTTAAGGTTAAAAAAACACATTATTTTCCACATACTGTACATTATTGTTTCTCCTCTATGCCCCGCCTTTCTGAAACGTGTCGATTTTTACAAAGCTCATCGATCTGAAAAGCGAGGTGTGCTGTGATTGGCCAGCTATCCAGTGCGTTGTGATTGGCCGAATACCTTAAGCGTGTGACTGAAATGTTACGCTATCAAAAAAACTCGCTTTAAATATATAAAATATAAAAACTTTTAAATATAAAAAAAGTACTTACAGTCTGTGAGTCAGAACAGCC